TGTGAAGACTCCCCAACACAGCAGCCTTTTGCATTACCCAGATTGTCAGAAGGGCTGTATTCCTGGTAGCAAACCCGGGTACTCTCGAAATGTCAGTCGACAGATTGGGAGGTACCAAACCTAAGGCACCGAGAACAATGGGGAGTCGGACAACTTGGTACTTGGGATGTAAACGTGACGTTTCGAAAGCGAGGTTTGCATATTTGCCATGTTTTTCCTCAATCTTGTCAATCACATTACTGTCAAAAGGGACAGAAAATTCAATGATATAAATGATTTCATTGGATTTATCAAAAAAGGACAAGATCAGGTTTGTTGGCCTGGATATGTCTTAGGCTGTATACGGGCCTATTCCAAAAGATTTTGTATTTATCATTTTCCGCCCTCTACATATTCCGGGTCGTACCACGGAGGGACCTCTGTGTCAAAACCACAAGCATGGCGAAGACGGTAATAAAATGATCGAGCCACACTATCTTGTCGCTTAAGATACTGTGTTTGTGCCAATGTGTTTGACAGTCTCATTAAATGCATTGCATAATCTACATTTCATATTTAGATTTTGATGCAAAATCACTCATTGACGGTTTCGAGTGGGAAGTGACTGGTCCTGAGCAGCACACAGAAAGCCTTCTGTTTCACTTTTCAGGCCAAACTGTAGAATGCCTTGTTTTCATCATGAGTCTTATTCGACAAATAAATGTGTGCAAAAGTGCACACTATGTAACTGACACCACTACTTCTTCTTCTTCTTCTTCTTAAAGCAGTTTCTTCACTTAGCATATAACATGAAACTGTTTCTATTCAGCATGTTATGAGCCCTTCCTTAAAAAGGTGATCATAATCGCTAATTGTAAAATCTAATGAAAACGAACGGCACGAAGACTCTGTTGCATCGAGAGGAAATCAATAACAGCTTGATTGTCTCCTAACATTTATGGTTATACTGTAAATATTCCTTCTTAGGGACAGTTCTTTTTTTCAAACCATTAATGTGAATCAAACACGATTAATGACAAAATTAGGTATGATTAAAATACCATTTACAAACACGTGTGTTTCCACATACGCATGTCCCTACTACAGCACTGTTGTCGAGGTAATCAACGCTGGTCGACAAAGCAGTACGTGTAATGAAATGATGTTAACGTAATTGTCAGTCCCATGGCTCTTCTGTCACCGATTGATCGCCATATAAGGAGCCTCGACGGGCACACAACATGCTGCCTTTCAGTGTCATTAGTTATTCGTGACTGAAGTGGCACTCACCAGATGCAAGAACACGCGGAGACAATCAGAGACATCGTAGCCCTAGTATTTAGTGTGGTATGATGATAATAATGACATCCGGGTAATTGTTGGAAGTATTTAAATGTCAATTGAGCTGATCTCTCTACATGTACACAACATGGATGCTACATGTTGCGCGTTCTCGGGATTGGTATACATGGGTGACTTAATCCTCACTGTATATAATTTCATATACTTTGTTCCAACAACATATTATATTTTATAACGGGGCTGACTACTTAAATCGCTGTATGTTGAATTAGACTGCATATTGCAAGGCAGTCGCCAATTTTCATTCGTGTAACATACTGTGTATATACTACTGTTTCTTAACTGCACGTAGGTGTGTTTAGTGTACGCCAATACGTCAACATTATATATTGCAGGATGCAGTTAGTGTGGACAGTGTGAAAACTATAATGACGTTCCTGTGCAGTGTATATGTCGGAACTATCTACATCCTTTTAGCACATACTATACACTGCCTCTGTATATACGTAAAAGTCTTTACTTCCACAAAGAATTCACTGTAGATGCACGGTATCAACCCTGTATCTCAACTATCAATATACATCGCTGTGGAGCCACTGTGGCAAGGCTATGTCTGAACTTTCAATTTTGATCGCGGTACATTCCCTATACCTTAGCTATATCTGAGCTATCAACGTTCATCACTGTAAATTCCCTATACCTAGTCTATATCTCAACTATCAACGTTCATCCCTGTAAATTCCCTATACCCAGGCTATATTTCAACTATCAACGTTCATCGCTGTAAATTCCCTATACCTAGGCTATATCTCAACTATAAATGTTCATCGCTGTACATTCCCTATACCTGGGCTATATATCAGCCATCATTGTAGATCACTGTAATTCTTATACCTAGGCTGTATCTCAACTATCAATGTTCATCCCTGTAAATATCACCTAGGCTGTATCTCAACTATCAATGTTCATCCCTGTAAATATCACCTGTCAATGTACACCACTGGAGCGTCATTATCCTTAGGCTATGAGAGAATACCCTTGTATGCATCTTCGTGTCTCAGTACTGTTTCATCGTGTGAAACAATCCGAAATATTTTATTCACCACGGACTGTGTAAACTAAAACATAAGTGACATATATGACAAGTCGAACCCGTGAGATGGGATTCAGAGCTTTATTGTAAAGCCGTCGATAATCACTAATCATCAGAAACCATTTAAAGGAAGACGAGGAATTAATGTGTGCCCCTTTGACTTGTTCACTGTCATATGACTTTGTCTTACGCGATAAATGTGCTTCCTGGCTACAGTGTCTACAAAGTACAATTTGTCGTCGGACATCTGTATCATTATTTAATGTTTACTTGATGAAATGAAGGCATTTGCATAATGCCTGTCACGGCCGGTCACACCTTACAACCTGACCAGGAACCTTTTAGAATATGCACTGAATATCTGTTACTGGATTACCATAACAAAAGGTTTACCGTACTGTGAACTGATCCCTACAATGAGTATGTTAGATAGAACCGTATTTGTATGAAGAATGTATTGCAACTGGTGGCTACTATAGCTGCTAGCTGACCGCTAGGGGTCATCTTGCAGAAAGGGACAGGCCAAGCTGGCGCCTCTGAGCAGGATTCGTTTCAAGGACAGCTTCAAGTCAGTCACCATCGTATGGGGATTCAAAGACAATCCGTGTACATGTGAGTTGCGTTTATATTGTAGCTGCAGGGCGTGTCAGATTGATGTGAAAGAGGAAAGAACATAGACGTTAACCAGTTTAGTGAAAGCCATGAGCACGGATATGGTGATGACAAGCCATGAACCATAGTCGGGGCAAAGGTGAACGTATCTATGAAACAATACCTCGGTGTCATCTATCGAAATTCAATGTCAACGTTCGAAATGTCCTTTCGAGTTGCCATCTGATAGTGTAGCTACACCACAGATCAGGACATGGTTGAGTTATTTACACATCCGGGATGAAAGGTACAACACTTAGTTACAAATGTGATAAGTGACACATGATTGACATCGTTAAAAAGTACCATTCACGGAACACTGACTTCCATCTCACCGACGATCTGGGAGGTGTTGATTACAAACCACACTTTCATATGACATTTCGGAAGCTTCTAATTCGCGGGATAATTTCCGGTTGTTTTTCTTATCTTGATGGTTTGTGTAATAAGGCTCACGGTGTATGTGTAATACATTAGAGTAACTGGCGCTAAATTAGAAGATAATAATATCTAAAAATATATATTAAAAAAATGCAGCTTGCTCGTTAAACCAATATCATTTCCGTTGGTACACTATATCGTTGTAAACATCCAACCAGAACACGTTTTTTGAAAAGCTAAATAAATATAACATTCCTACAGTTGACAAAAAACTGCGCTGTGAGATTCATAAAAGTTTAAGTGTTTGTATAAATCGTGTGTTTGTATACACACATGAAACTGTTGAGAACAGCGAAGTCACACCGTATGAAAGAGTCGGTATTCGTGTGACCGGCTAAAGAAACCTGTCAACTCCAGGAAATCAATTCCGAAATCAAGGCTTCTATTCCATATCAAGAAGCAAATAATTACATCAGCATAAATTATCCCGAACCCTTCCAAAGTCAAATGACAGGGCGACATTGAAGCGAAAAATAGGTGGAAGTTGAGGACAGCCAGACAAGGACAAATTGTGAAGGAAACAGTCATAAGAAGGTCGTCATCATACAGCCTGTTCGTGCAACTGTGTAGCGTAAATTCACATGTTTAATAATGCAGGGTTTGAGTGATCAACACCGCCTAATGTCGGCTGGTCTCGCAGTTTCCTTTGAAATCTCCTAAATACACGGCGTAAAGACACTCCTGTCCTAAATGGGTTCCTTTTCTGTTACGTGTAAAATGTTAATAAACTGGTGCAACATCATGGAACACAATAGATAGGTCGATGCCGTACCTTTAAGCAGAGAATGTGCATTGATATATCTCAAGAAAAGTCGATAAGTAACTCACAGTATGCCGCTCATATTCCAGACCCCAGGCGCGAATCTATTGCTTAAAGGAGAATTCCAAAGGTTCGAGTGAACTCTATCAGGTAATCGAGTTAGTTCAAAGCCCTCAATGTGAACCATGTACTATTTAAATGGGACACCAGAAGCCTTACAACAAATAAACCGTCTTAATTCGGTAACAACTGCATTCATATTTGATATTGAACGAATTGTTTTTCTCAAGGGACAAATAATTCATAACAGAAACGCCTGAATTGAATCTTCACAGGAATCATGACGTCTTTTTATCAAATCAAAGAACCGAGAGGAAGATACAGACTTGATGATGAAAAAAAGCCATTTAATGAAAGTAGTGGTCGTACTGTCTGAACAGTAGAAAATATATAAGGGGTTTATGAAGTATATCTGTCACATCCACTGGTGGTAAACGTATGTTGTTTTATAGTGGTTTATCGTGACGAACAAAGATAAACGTCAAGGGATAAAATCAAGTATATAGGCATAGATCAACGATAGGTTGTGTCCTATGGTCATGTATTGGTATGCACACATGTAGATGGTCACCAAGTCAACTAAACCTGTGAAAAAAGGATAGTACTGTCAAACATGTTATGACATTTTTTTATGAGGAAACACGAAACAAAACAAGATGTTTATAGGCAAAGACGAAGGTTCCTGATGACGAAAATGTCACCCTGCACACTTACCTGTAGTCATTCCGAGAATAAACAACGGGACAATGGTGTACAAATCCTCAAACATATTGAACATTAGTTAAGAGTGCGTTTTCAAAACCTGGAAACTATGGTAAATCCACACTCGATGTAAGCATCGTTGAATATATCCAGTGTCGATGTATTAACGCTTCCATTGCTCGTCGTGTGCTCTCTACACGTGAGTACCACTTTCTCCCGGGTCCATGCAATTGTCTTCCACACTACACGCTGCTCCGTCAGTTCAGCGAGGAGGAGTTTGGCAGCGTACTACCAACTTTACAGGTGCTTGACGCTCGCTCCGAGGCAGACACGCGGTTGCTTCAGTCAGAAGCCCTGGTATCCGCAATGCTAGATGTATTGCTATTTCACTGGGTTGGCTTAATCGTGGAAATATCGAACGATTGAATGAACTAGCGTTAGGGAACTCCTGTGTCGAGTTCTGTTTAATACTACATGTGAAGCCTAGCGTGCATCGCAAGCTGTATGCACAGCCGTAGTCACCTCGATCATATCTGCGCTAGCGGTGAAAGCGGATGAACAGCATGGATATATCACAACATTCTTTATTTTGCCTCCTCCTTTCCCTTATATATAATGTACACATGGATTGTTTGCTCCAAGAAGTGCTTCATCATTGAAATGAATTAGGGATGAAACCATTTGCGCGTTTGACTTAACTTAACGGCCCAGTGAATTTAGAAGCACGGGTGGAGTGCCACGTGGAGTGGGTTGTGCAGACGGGCAATAGCGTTCCGTTTTTACCAATCAACGTCGTCGTCTTCTGTTGGTATCTTTGGCTTTTATTTAGAGTGGGTCCGCCGGGTTGATGGTTATGACAACCGAGCCGGTTAATCTGCCCAGCCGAAAATAATGATTGTATGAATCTTCTTTTGTTAACGTGTACGGATCTATGTTCTATGTTTCATTAACCGGTGGAGTTTGATAATGTTCTAGACGCGCACAATGGAACCAAGTTCATGGGTTTTATTATTTATATTGAAATAGATTCAAGCAGTAGTTTGTGAAATGAAGTCAGTTTCAGCCATTGTTTATATTTATATTTAATAGAGTCTACATATTTACGACAGACCTTATGATAATGGGCGATCTTTTTGTTTCAAAGGGCAATAAGTCTCCTTTTGAAATGATAAGCGACGGTCCAATCTGTCACTTCCGGTCATTTTCTACTTAATATTTTTAACTAGCACATATTTTTAGTGATTATTACTTTAGAATATCAACATTTGTTTAGTGTTTTAATAAAACACGAACTGTATTTTATCAGTAACATTGCATCTTTGAAATAACGCAAATTAATTATTTATCAACCGTTGTGTTATTTCCCACCATATCTCCTTAACTAGTGCAAAATCCAAATGAAACAAATACTTTACATATCACCGCGGACGTCAATGTAATAAAATTGCAGATACGCTTACATTTGCAGTAGACGGACATCTGTGACAGGACTTTATCACGCGTACGGATCGATACTTATTTTACATCCGTGCCTTTATTAATAATTAAAGAATAAATAACGTTCCAAATGAAACAAATGATTTCAGTGTTTTTATATCAACATTTCCGCTTACATCAGATTGTATGTTGTTTTTTTTTATTCTGACTTTATTGTTTAGAAATATACCAAATGAAAATCAACCATGCACTCAACAACCAGTCAGTTACTCAACTGCAATATACACACCTGTCATCGTAGTTTGGAAGAAGAAATGTACCCATATTATTCTGACCTTTGTAAAATATGCCCCGTCATTTATATTTAGTGCTTTGAGTCATCAAAGGTGTTAATTCTTTGATTCATCATTTCTTACATAATTCTGATACTCGTGCACACAAGTCGTAAATTACAGAGATGTGTCCAAATAAACAACACATCATCCTGTCTACCCCACAAGATATGTAGGATACATAAATAGATAAAAACAATAGTTGTATCTTTTTGTTTCGGCAATAAATATTATGTTGACAAGTCATTTCCCTTTCAACCAATGCACTATCCAGCAGTAGCTATATCCTGAGTATTAAGCCATTTATTAGAAAGTATCATAGAGCAAATGGGATTTTAAAAAGTTTATATTCAAATATTTTAGGATATAAATGCAATTTTTTACCCCACAATCATTCCATTTAGATATCTAAATGCATTATTTTATGTTATTTGTTTTTACATAAAACAGATTAAACTTATATGAATATTATGACTGCTAAATAATATGCATGTGCATTCTAATACTAGTTCATATGCACAAGCATACAAACATATCAAATAAAATTTAAAAAAAAGTGCAATGCAGATATCAACTGATGTAAAGAGAAAAAAATAACATTATCTATTTGTTTGTTTGAGAATTTGGAACATCATGTGAGAAAATAAAACATAAAAAGCAAGCAAGGTCTGATGAAATTAAGAATGAGTTTTATCTGTTACAATATCTATTACTCATCATGTGAAAGTAAACTGGATGTTGTTGACACGGTAATGAGATTGAAATATTGCAGTTGGTATTAGTACCCATGAATAAACATACACATTTAAATATATATATAGGATCTTCTGTATCTGAAAATAAATATTATTCTCTAATATTATATATTTATTCATTTTAAAATGCCATCATAATATCTACCTTTTTAAATGATAACTGAAATGTAATCGCCTGGCTTCGAATGGCTTATCAAGTGGTTTACTATTGCAGTATAAACAGTCCCTGCTGTATCATTGAATCACGGAACATATGTTTCAGGACAATAGATAGATCATTGTTTAGGCGAAAAAATATATTGTCCATACACCACATCAGCGTGATCGTTGCCGAGAGTGGTGAAGGTTATACTGGTTAACTGTCTATAGGTGTGATAATAACATGTACCGCTCGTCTCGCGCATACCACATGCGCTGTCAGTTTAAGGTATGAGCGGCCAGGCGAGTGCACCCAGCGGGTTAGTGAAGGGAAGATAAATTAAATAAAGATCGCCCATTGCTGTTTATATAGCGTCTGGCTTCGTATCAACTTCGTATCAACTTTCATTTGATATTATATCGGATATGTGTAACCCCACTTGAACATGATCATTTACGGACGGACAATAATAAATTGGGATTATGTGCCCGGGGAGATTTGATCAGTGAATTATTTGAAAACGAGCGATATTCGATATATGTCAAACATTCATAATTTCTCATTTAAACAAATGCCATAAGGCTATTGTCTGGTTCATTTGGCATTGTCATTATTATTGCTCAAATATCAAATTATGGGAAAACAGATTGATTTCCACTTTTTCATGACACAAGCGTTTACAGCTTGAGAAGTGAGAACTGAAATAGACAAAACGTGGAAGCACTGCAAGCTACATGACATGGTTCAGGTATTACACGTCAGGGAATGCCTACTCACAGGTACTTATACTAATTGATGGGAAGGTGCAGGTGAGCGAGTGAGTATGGTTTTACGCCGCTTTCAGCAATATCCCAGCAATATCACGACGGGGGACACCAGAAAAAGGCTTCATACATTGTACCCATGTGAGGATTCGAACCCGGTCTTCGGAGTGACGAGCGAAAGCTTAAACCACTAGGCTACCCCGCCGCCCCGGGAAGGTTCGGGTATTACTGCTTACTAACTGGATGATTCAGACCTGTGGATGGGATGGTTCAGCTGTTACTACCAGTTACTGAGATGGTGATGTCACGGAACTGTGCTCCAATGACCAGGGGTGTCACTAAACAAGAATAAAGTTATAATTAAAACGTGGTAATAGTTTCACAGCTTTATTAGTAACTGCTAATTGTAGTAATAGTTGACAATAAAAGATCAGATAAACCCAATCTGCGTTGACAAAGATAGCTGATCAATTTAATCAGAGTAAATAGCACAAGCGACTTAGCTTAGCAACTGTATTAAAGTAATAAAATGAGAGAAGGGGGTTAAGATTTAACAGAAATATAAATATACTGCGCGGGGACACTCTCCACTCTCTCCTGGATCCTCGGGAAATACAACAGACTGGGGCGCTAAGCCAGTGTGTGTCTCTAAACATGGGGAAACACGAGTAAGTACTGTATCTAAACTTATAATATAAGTATAAAAATAAAGCGTTGAACATAAGCTAAAGAACGGTATCATTAAGGATATACAACAAGTAATGTACAATTATTGAGGATGGCTCAGGTGTTACTATCAATTGACTGGATGGCTCGGGTGCTACTATCTGGTATGGATTCATTGGATGCCTCAGGTGTTACTATCAATTGATTGGATGGCTCAGGTGTTACTATCAATTGATTGGATGGCTCAGGTGTTACTATCAATTGATTGGATGGCTCGGGTGTTACTATCAATTGATTGGATGGCTCGGGTGTTACTATCAATTGATTGGATGGCTCGGGTGTTACTATCAATTGATTGGATGGCTCGGGTGTTACTATCAATTGATTGGATGGCTCGGGTGTTACTATCAATTGATTGGATGGCTCAGGTGTTACTATCAATTGATTGGATGGCTCAGGTGTTACTATCAATTGATTGGATGGCTCGGGTGTTACTATCAATTGATTGGATGGCTCGGGTGTTACTATCAATTGATTGGATGGCTCGGGTGTTACTATCAATTGATTGGATGGCTCGGGTGTTACTATCAATTGATTGGATGGCTCGGGTGCTACTATCTGGTATGGATTCATTGGATACCTCAGGTGTTACTATCAATTGATTGGATGGTTCATGTGTTACAACTAGTTGTTTGGATAATTCATGTGCTGCTACTATTTGTTTAGATGGTTCGGTTTCCACAATATGTTGATGTTAAGTGCGTATCTTTACAACATATTCTATATTGCTTCAAACATACATAACACTCATTAACTGCAAAGCATATGCATTTAAACATTGAAAAGGGGGACCATTGAAACCGTATTTTAAAACATGGTCATTTGTACAAAATCCATCTATGGCTGCAAAACATATATAAGGATATATATATTATATATAGGATATATATATCCCCGAGGCTTGTATAAAGGTGTCGAATAAAAGAGCTCAGGGTTTGGGATCTTAATATATCGTTTGATTGGTTCGTGGAATGGGGTAGAGTATCGAACCTTTACATCCGTTTGGATCTTCATGGTAACATTTGCTCAAAGTACTGTTCTTGCGACAACTAAACACGTAGGCTCATGTGATATAGTACATATATATCATTTTGATATCTTTCATCACCCAAGCCGTCCTTTAGGATCCTGGATGTCGTAGCGTAGAGTAGGCTGCAGCGCACATCATTTGACATTCTCCCCTAAACCAATTGGATGCATGTTGTTTCGCGGCCACTCAAGATATTACCTTGACAGCGCTCAGTGATATAAGCAATGTGTGTTTTGGTGAGATTAAAAAAATCGA